AAAAAAAAAAAATTCGTCAGGCACTGAAAAAAGATGAAGAAAAGTGAAAAGAATGAGAAACTGAGCTTTTGCACAAACTCACCCAAATTCCTTATGTGGGATTAAGTAATAGTAGTAGTATTGACGAGGAACTAGCGGGGTGAAAAGACCGTTACGAAAAATTGTCTGGCCAATTTCAGAAAAAAGTTTTTGCCACTTTCCCCAATTCCTCATATGCGTTTCAAGTAGAAGGATGAAATAAAATTAAAAGTGAAGTTACAAAGTTCATTTATTTATCGTCTTTTCCGCGGAAAAAGGACGGAAGCCCAGACTGAATACGATTTTGGAAAGAAACATTCAGAAGCAGGGGGGAAGTTTTGATTCCTTTTAAGTTTTCTCCTTTATTGATAAGTAAAGAAGGTTGCCAAAAAATTAAAGAGTTTGTGGAGGGGGAAGTTAGTAAGGATTTACAAAAACATGCCCGAAAACTTGCTACTGAAAGTGACATGGCTCGGCATGACCTTACAGCTCTTAATGAGTGAATAAAAACTCACGCATTTTTGTATCTTCTTGGTGAGGATTTGTTATGTTTAAGACAATTAATAGGAAACGAAATTGGTGAGGATTATGAATCATCCTCGGATTGTTGCGAAGATACACCTATTCCGTGAGGAGACCCGGAGCGGGGAGAGCGGATTTGCGTTGCTTCCCATTTTTTAATTTAATTCTAAATATTACAAAATCCGAAATTGATGTCTGCTATAATTTGTCTAGTTTCCTAGTATTCAAGGAAGTTTTTTGGATAAAGAATTGAGGCTTATTTCGCACAATAATAGGAATTGTTTAGGATTTTTTGGATTTTGTAATAAGAGGAAAAGTTTTATAATTTTGCGAAATTTCCGGGAAAAAAATAAATTAAGGCAATTATATTACTCTGCTAATAATTAATATCAGTCAATCATTATCTCTAATTCCTAATAATTAAAGAGTTAGAAATTTAAAATACTGCCATTTATTCCGACTTCGTAACATATATAATTGCCTTAATTATTTCTAAACTAACAATCATTCTACTTATTGTTTTTTTTTTTTTTTTCACTGGAATTTAGGCATTTTTTTCCTTCTCCATAACAGACCAGCAAACAATACTATTAATACTACTGCACCAATACCCAATAATATCCGAAGCGTATAGTTGGGTTTGGCGGGCAATTGGGAAGTATCATCATTAATTTCCTCCTCTTCCTCCTCATCTTCGGTTGCCCTTTCTTCATCTTCATCCATATTGGCATCATCATCCTCGTTTTTTTCTTCTTCGGAAGGAGAATGATAACTAGCATCATCATCGGGGTGCGGGAGAGAAGAAGACGAGGAACCTATTTTTTTTCAAGCCTCAGTCTTCTGTTTTTCTAACTCAACTTTTACTATTTCATAAATACCACCATTTATATTATCA